AGAAAAGGAAGACGGACCTGATATCACAACTCTTGTGGAAAGAGTGTATTCTAATTCAGGCGCGGAAACACGTCATGGCCAAAAAAAGGAAGTGGGAGGTGAAACCGAGACCGCAACACTGCCGGATGCCGCAGTGGAACTTGAACCAAAATACTCAACATAGTGACAGGACAGGGGGAGGGGCATGCAGTGTGGGTAAAGGGAACTTGCTGTTTGTGTAATTGTTTATCATATTTCCATTGACCACTCTCACCTCAATTGGAAACATCGATGTGCTTTCACTTCATTGATTGATTCTTTTTTCAAAGTAAAAGCAGCTCTAACACATGTTGAAGTGTCCTTGAGTGTAACTTTGGGAGGATGAAACCGTTTTGAACTTTGGACGGTTGCATAACAGGCCTACCTGGTAGGTCTGCAGAGGATGGTGCGGATAAACTTTTCAACCCTTTTGACGAGGAGATACTTTTCAGACTTGCACGGGTCTTTGTAGAGGGTGGGTCAGAGTACCCCCCATGAGGAATATTGGTTTCTAACCAGCAACTCTCCTCTGGGAGGGGTTTGTATCAATACCCCAGATGTCTGGAAAAGGCTGGATTTACGTGAGAGACTTTGATGTTCTGATGATCAATCTTTAGTTGGTGGTTTGCATTGACCCTGATTTGGTGTCTCATCAGTGAGCTAGGCAGGAGTAGGTAATGGAGGTTTTTTGTTCCTTTGGTGGTTAAGCCAGCCTTGGTAAACCCCTATGTGCCCTCCCGATGAACTCTGGGAGATCATTGATCAAATTGTCCTGCATCTGCTTTGTTTGCTTCCCCGACTTAACAGTCAAAGCAGCCGCGTCCACAAACAAAACAACCAAAACAATGCACACAAGCACACAGTTAGTCAGGCGGTCCGTTGCTTTTCAACAAATATTAAGTATCCTTCAGTGTGAATATCGCTTCTTGACCTTGATCTTATTTGACTTATGAAATCACATTTTTAACAATTGGCAAGGGTATTATAATTCCACACTCATTGTGAGGCATGCCAACTGGGAGAACATTCTTCCAAAAACCACCTACTTGAATCCATCAGTACACCATTGAAATGCCAAGATTTGTACTTCCAAATACACTGCAGTTTTTTTCCCCTCCTTTATATTTCGGAGATATCCTGCCAAAACAGCTGGGGTTTTGCCACTCAGCTTCCTTGAATGTGTTTATTTTTACTCCAAATGTCAGGAGAGTTGAAATATTGTGATTAAGAAAAACTGACAGCTGTAGTTCAACGAGGCACAGTATATTGCATCTCTGGAAAAAATAAATAACTTCTCACATCCCCTGATGATAAGGCAAATGCATTTAATATTTTCTTAATGTATTCAAACTTACATTAATTAAAAGGAATTTGTATAATAAATTCAATTGCCTAACCGGCGCTTATTGATTTAATATGCATTCTGACTCGAGTCTCTATTCTTATTTTCTCGCTGCTGCTGGAGAAGTGCGGAAGTTATATTTCACGGGGGACTTCCTGGAGTTCCTCACTTGTTGTGAGCAGAGGCCAAATGGATTTGGGTGTGACATCCAAAGCATGCTCTGCTGACCACTTTGCACGTGTATTCTCTGTTTGTCCAACAGACTCATTCAGAGCTCTGTAGTCCACCTGGAGGTTTGAATCATGCCTCTGAATGAATTTACATGAATATACTTATTTAATACACTTCTTCTTTTGGCTTTAGTCAACGTCTGTCTCCAAGAACATCATTCACAAATGAGAAATGGTGAATTTTAAAATGCACCTTTTGACCTTTAAACATCTTTGCCAAGGTATCCGGTCGGGCTTGTATCTGAAGAAAAATGTTTTTCCTTTGCTAATAACACTGAAAAGTAAAACATTATCCAGACAAATAGCAATGATGGGTAGGGTAACAACGCTCACTTTTAACTAATGCAAAACTGGACTAAAAAAGAAATGAAGCAATATATTTTTACGGATGATGTGATGACAAAAATGTGTTTTCATTGGATATGTGTTAATCTTTCTTTAACTGAATTCATATTAGAGATTCTCCAAATTCAAAATGTAGATGCTTTTCAAATAAAAGGCTGTAGTATGAAAAGTCATAGTTTGGAAATATGGAGATTTGTTTTGGGATTAAAACGTCTGCAGATTGATAAACCATATACATATATAATACTTCTCATGCAATACTGTCACCATGACAGTGATCATAATATCAAGAGATATTTCCTTTACAACATCATGTAACATAATGGATGTGCAGTTACTGTTTGGATAATTAGAATAATGTTTATCTATTCATATATCTATAACTAACAGCAAGGAACATCAGTTGTAGTCTTCCTCCATGAAGCCTGGAAAAACTAAACTAATTTGACTATATCCGCAGTGCCTGGGCAGTTTTCCACTTTAAAACAAGCCTGTGCTTCCATGGAATCCCGGTATGCAAAAGAGGCCCGGACGCTGCAGTCAAAGAGATTAAACGCCACGACAAGCACAGAGGGCCAGGCCCAGGTGATCAGATACAGTCGAGGAAATAAACCTGCAACAGGTAGGTGTTCCAACTTTCCGGCGAGGCGCCGCAGCACAGTGAGTCCTTATCACGCTGACCAGAGGGATTTCTCTCATTTGATTAAACCCATCAACACTTTTTCCACGGCTCTCTGTCTCTCGGCACACTGAACTGATCAACCCGTGCAACTTCATGAGGTAGACAAAAAAACAGGAACAGCACATAATGTGATGCATTTAGGATGCAATAAACTGCTATAAATATACTACCTCTTATGTGTAATGTGTGACGCAGTAGGTCATGTTATTGTTCTGCATTACATTATGATGTCAGGATTACCTGTTTTTAGCCCAAACCAATCATACATTCCTGTTTGTTGTTTGTCATGCAGTGGTATAGACAATAGAGCCTTTTACATACTGTATGTTAGCACATATGCTTTCCATAGGTGTGGAAATTGTTCCTAAAATGTATATTTCAAAAGATGTTCACCTTTTGACCTTTGTTTCTAAAGCAGTTTTTGAAATATATCAAACTGTTTATATGCGGTAAATATCTTATGTGTCCCCTCTAAAGAATGTATTTTTCACTTGAATGTTTAATTATTAATAGATAATGGTTACAACTATAACAGCCTCTTAACATTGAATTCCAGCTTTCACATTTGATAGGCTAAAAACGGAGACCAAATGTAAATATAAAAACATTAAATTGGTGATTAAAATGGCCTGATAAACTATGTACATACTCTATGTTCATTGACATTTAGCTCAAAACAGCTAAAACTCAAGAAAAAATCACTAATGTCTTGTTCCTTCTGACCTGGATTAATGTGCTAATAGTGATTCAGAGGACTACTTTTAGCACATTTAAGGAGTGAGTCAGTTTAAGGCAGATGATTAAGTCAACACAGAAAATCTTTCTTTGGTCGGACACAAGAGTGTTGAATTGTTTTAACAAGTCTGTGAGGATCATTGTTGTCTATTTTGTTGATTCAAGGTACAAGACATCCTGAGAGGAACCTACTCTGTCTGCCCCAGCTGGTATGACTGCTATGATAAAACACAGACAGACAGACAGACAGACAGACAGACAGACAACACACACACACACACACACACACACACTGAGGACTTGCCTGTGGTGATGAGCCACACCAGATCACTGGCTGCTGTGTTTGTGTTAGCCCCCTAAACACAGAGCATGATTCAGACTAATTCTCCCACACACTCTGTTTACACTTCTGGTTCATTGAGGTACTATTAATTTCTCAGGTCTGAATATTCAGGCACTGACATTTCATTCAATATTTTCTGTGAGATTTGCAAAGGCCTGTGTGCTTCATGTTGGTACAGCTAGAGCAGAAAGTGCATAGCTTACACCCAATTTAGTTAATCCCTACTAGACTTTTAATGAGGAGTGCAGAGTGTGATAGTGAGTTGAAAGCAGTGAGTAACCCCAAAGATTTTTAGTAAGTCTTATTTTTCTTTTTTTAAATAACTCCATTCTAAAGGATATAAAGTCAACCACTGTGTGATTTTGTTTATTTTTCACAAGTTTGAGAATAAGTAAAAAAGCGACCCATGACGCTCCATCCACTGTCTTCTCTTCTGTGGCTTCCGATCACTTTTCCACTTGTGCTTCACCCGGAACTCACATGTCCAAATACAGACAGAAAGGGGCGGGGCCGGACACTGCCCTTATTTGGAGTTCCACTTAAGCGGTCACTTTGGCTCCAAGTCAAAGCAAGCCTTCGGATTTACAGTGCGCTGCTTGCAATATTTACAAGCGATTAACTCCGTCAATAACTGTCTTTGTTAAGTGTTGCTGCTTGAAGAAGACTGTTTCCAACAGTTGTTCTGCAATACAGGACGGATAGTAGGACAGTTTGAACATACACTAAAAGCAACAACAAAGCATATGCCGTAGAAACAAATAATTTTTTCTTTATGCTTATTTGGGCAAAACGTATTTAAAAGAAAGGCCAACACAGACAAATATTTCAATATGTGTATATGAACAAACAGTATGAAGGCCTTTAATGACTTAGCGTATTTTAATTGTTTACGATTAACAGCCTCTTTCTCTGTCTCCATCTCACACACTGTCCCTCACTCGCACACACACAGCTGCATAAAAAGCTCCCAGTGTGCGTGATAGTCCACAATGGACATCATAATGCCTGATAATAATACAGATAACAGCTGTTGAATCCCTCTAATGTTTTCCACAAGGACAGGAACAGAGGAGAATCGTCCAGGAGAGGGACGCATCTGGAACAGCAGTGAAGATTTGGTAAACTTCTGTGGCTCGCTATCTATCGGAGCCTTTTGCCTCCACTGTAGTTTCCACAGCTTGACGCGCGGAGAGCATGGGTGCTGGGCGCTCTGTCCATATTTGGTCATCTACGTCACGCAAATGTTCCATCCCCCTATTTAATACAGGCAGACTGGAGTCCCCTATCCAGCTCCAATAGAGCAAGTAGAGCTGCTCTTGTGCAACCAACACCACCACCACCTCCTCCATTGATTCACAGACTTCACATTCCCCCACAAGCAGCCCATCAGCTTCCACAGTGATCAGATTAATAACAACAGTAGCCTGTGATCACACAGGAGGAGATACCCGGCGCTGCTCGTCCTCCGCGGGATACTTGGATACAGCAACAGGATCCATCCCTGCTCCTCTCCTCTTTTTTCTCTGATCCACACCTGTGTTTTCCACTTTTGAGAACACCCGCTGTGTTTTTTTTCTGAGAAACTACTTGGATACCTGCGAGTTGTCCTTTTTATAAATGTCGGACTGACTATAACTGCTATGACAGGGAAACTAGCGGAGAAGCTCCCTCTTACGATGAGCAGTTTAATAAACACGATCCCTGACAGTCTCTACCCAGAAGAGGACATCCCGACGTCTATGAATATTTTCACCAGTACGGAATCTATTAACCACTATTCACAGATGAATACAGGTAAGATTTTTTTACTTTTCCGTGTATGAGTGTTTTGATAAAAGTGGTTCAAATTGCGATGCGTAAGGCAACAGTTGTCTTGGGTCTCGGAGCACCTGTTTGCGCTCTGGCTGTTGCGGACAGACGCACAGACTCCCGTACTCAATACTTTTTCTCGGGGTCAGGTGTAACACCGGACTCTACGAATTAGATACACCTTTAATGTGACTGACTCTCTGGTCAGGCATGTCATATTTGTGACGTTTCCTTTTATGTTTATCATTGTCCGTAGCCGAAATGTCTCTCACGCAACATAAAAAAGGTTCTGAAATCAAAACTTTTTAAAAACCAAATGCTAAAACATTATATTTGTAAAAATCTACACGTGTATAGTGATTTTAATTTGGCAAAGCCGATGAGTGTTTGAGGAAATGTCTAATTAACGGCTGTGGAAAACAGGCTGTTATACGCAAAGTACTCAAAACGCAATCGACTCCTGACTGAAACTGAAATCTCAACTCTCGGAGTGAATACATTTCTGTGGTTAAACTGCAAAATGCCACTGATTCATTAATCCAACATCCACCCGTAAAGATGGGTCAGCTACTTAGGAGAATGCCTTTCATTCACAACTCTATTAACATGACACAGATTAGATTTCAGTAGGCGTGTGTGGCTGCTTTTCCCTATATAAAATGTTTAGACACAGGGCCCCCTGAACCCACTTAGTCACTAAATTGCGAGGCCGAATTTATTGATTTATTTGGTGCTAAATCCAGATTAAGGTTTATTTCTGATTAATTCAGACGCCTCCAAAGATGACTTTAGCTTCGGCTCAGTGTTGGCATTAAATCAATCACTAATTGTACAGGCTCACCTTCGGAGGTGATGGGTCAATGCTGCACCAAATATACTAAATCTTTAGTATCCTGGCGTGGCGAGGATCACCGTGATGCACTGACCGCAATTTACATTTGCCCTGTCGAACTTTGCATGAAACATTTTTATTCTCACGTTTTTTGTTCACAATTTAAAACAACCCCTTATTTTTAAATTACCCCGTAATGAACCCCCTTATTTACCTAAGAAGTGTACGTTTTTAATTATCCCAGCGCCAGGTCTTATAAATAGTATACCTCGTTTATTTTTTAAATAAGTACATTAAATACAGGAGACACACTTGCAACATATGACATTTCTCTATTAACAAGGCAATACAATGTTTATTTATGTTTAATTGTAGTCACCTCTGACAGGAAATATTGAAACAAATGAAGCTGAACATAAAAAAATATGTTTCAGTACAGGTGTGTGTTGCTCTGTTAAATATGACTCATCTTGATGAAATTCACGTTATACACTCAAAATGTAATATATAAGATTTTTTTGCAGATTTCATATTTTTGTGCAAATAACAATAATTTCTTTTTAGAGTTCCATGTGTAATATTTCCAGTGAAGCAGCTGTTTACTTTGCCCCTCAACGGCGCCTAATAAGAAATAGTGATGAATTATTGTATGCCTCTTATTCTCTCAAAATAAATCCCACAGTTCAAAGAACCTCCTAAAGACCAAATATTTAGAGTGTAATGCTTTAATATCAACTCAGGCTTGCTTTCCAATTCCAAGCCCCCCCCCCACTAAAAAAATATGCCACAAGTGTCATTGTCCATATTCACCTCATGTGTCTCAATGCCATTGTGCTATAAGTAATTTAGCTTTTGTTTGCACAATTATGATCTCCCTTTAGCCAAATTCCAGCAGGCGGTAATTACTGGGAGTGAATATTTAAACACTCCTGTGTATCATTCTCTGCAAATGAAAAGAGATGTCTATTTTAACTTGTGTGAAAGAAAGATTTCATTGTAAACGTCTCACATTAAAGCCCTGAGAGCACGATCAGCACATAAATGAATCCCCATTAAGCACATCTGTGATGGTTTTTATGGCATCTTTGGAATAAGTTAAATGTGTGTGTGTGAAGTGTAAGATTCTGTAGAATTAAAATATCAGGGAAATTTGGGGAAATGTTGTTAAGCTCACTAATGCCGAGATTGGATTGGAAACACTTAAAATGTTTTACCCCCGTTATGTGCAGATGCTGCAAATGTGTTTTGAATCCTTGAGCGTGATAGATGTGGCGTCTCCCTTATAATCCTCCCTGCTGTAAAGAAATCAGATCTTGCCATTCAGTTTGGCTGTCCTCCTCAGGGACACAATGACTGGATCAAAGGGGGTGTTTAGGTCTTGATTTATGAGGGCTTGTGGGATCTGAGAGAGAGAGACACCACTGTCTCACATGCAGCAGTCACTCACTTAACTTACAGGTCTGACAGCGCTCACATTTCTTTATGAACTCCAGTGGACTTCTTTTATTTTTCATTTGTTGGCACACTATTACAGAGAAATGCAAAAAAGCTGAATTTTGGAAAAACGGATTCTTCAAGATAACATATCGTCACAAAGTGAATTTTCTAGACTTTATTTAACAACTTTTGCCACATTATCAGCTATTGAAAGCTTTTCTTTTCAGCTTTTTTAAATTCTTGTATGTGCAACAATATGGATGATTTATTCATTATGTCTGTGTTTGTGCTTTTGTCTAGATAACATCATGGATCTGGGCATGGGAGGCGAGAAAGCATCCGCAGAGATTCAGTATGGATCCAGCTTCCAGTCCAACCGCAGCGGGCAGACTGTCACCTATCTGGGGAAGTTTGCCTTTGACACTCCTCCGTCAGGGGGCCTCGGGGGCTCCGGGTGGTGCTCTGATAACAACATCATCAGTCTTGTCAGTGCGGGGATCCTGGGCGTCTCTCCATCACCCGGCACGGTCACGTCGCAGACATCGTCCTCCGCAGCCAGCATGGGCGGACAGACGTCAGACATGGATCAGGGGTACGGTCCTCCGCTGCCTGCCTACTCCACCTGCGGTGACCTGTACCAGGACCAGGTCTCCTTCCACCACAGCCCGGCCACCAGCAGCGGACTCGCCTACCCGGGCAATGACTACCACTCCACATCCAAAGCCTCCATGGATGGCAGCCTTTTCTCCATGATCCCCGACTACAACCTTTTCCACCATCAGGGGGATGTTGGCGTGATGGAGCACAAGCCCTTCCAGAGCATGGACCCCATCCGAGTCAACCCTCCTCCCATTACACCCCTGGAGACCATCAGGGCGTTCAAAGATAAGCAGCAGATGCACCCAGGTTTCCACGGGGGGCAACAGCACCCTCCTCAGCACCACCCGCCCCCACAGACTCTCACCCTCAAACCCATACGACCTCGGAAGTACCCCAACCGTCCCAGCAAGACCCCTGTCCACGAGCGGCCGCACGCCTGCCCGGCGGAGAACTGTGACAGACGCTTCTCACGCTCAGACGAGCTCACACGTCACCTTCGCATCCACACAGGTCACAAACCCTTCCAGTGCCGAATATGCATGCGCTCCTTCAGCCGGAGCGACCACCTGACCACACACATCCGCACACACACCGGCGAGAAGCCCTTCTCCTGTGAGTTCTGTGGACGCAAGTTTGCCAGGAGTGACGAGAGAAAGAGACACTCAAAGGTTCACCTGAAACAGAAGGACAAGAAGCCGGCTGACAAGAGCAGTGGGGCGGCTGGGAGCCACAGCTCGCCCCCCAGCTCCTGTGGGGGGCCGACAGGGGGAACGTCATGACCGTCACTACACACACTTGGACTGGACCCTCACCATGCCCCATAAAGAGACTTGGGAAGACGGGATCACGTCCGCTATGAGATAAATAGGTGACTCTTTTACTCTCTTTTACATCCCCCGCTCTTATTTCCATAGTTCCTTCTATTTTGAGATGGATGACTTTTAGTTTAAGAAAAAAAGGAGAAAGGCTGCTACACCCTTCTCTTTCAGCTACTGTAACACAAAGAAGGGCCCCTTGGCACATTCTGTCCACAAGGTCACTTCATATAGGTTTGTGGGCTGGATACACTTTTGTCAATTTTACTGAGAATTTCTAAATTGAAAGGAAGCCAAGCGTCAAAAAACTAAATTAAATGGAGCTTATTTAAAGGGTGAGTTGTCTGGGATGTATGCATTTATTTTATTAGGCTGTTTTAAAAAAGTGCAATTGGTTATATTTGTGTACTGTCATGGATACCTTATTAGTGGCACTTGACGGTCTTTTTGTTGTATTTTGTTGAGGTGTCGTGTTTTTTTATTTTCTATTTGAATGTTGTTTTCTCAAAAGAATGTGCCAAATGTATTGTGGTGACACAGCCAACCTTGTTTTTTTATTATTGTGCCTGACATCTGCCAAACATAACAGTGATATCAGCTTAGCACACATGTTGATTTAACGGAAAGATCAGATTCAAATAGATTTACCTGCACAAATTGGTTAAGTCTACATAATGACTGAATGGGTTACACAAAGCAAACCGATGTCTTGTCTTGTTACTTGTACTTATAAAACAAACATGCCTGCAGCAATCAATGCCTCTGCCAATACTTTATTTATTTGTAGTCACTGAGAGACACTGTGTATTTGTGTTGCCTTTTTTTTATACGGTGGCTTTATGTGGCGTTACCAGATATCATTTCTTTTTTTAAAAGTTCACCAATACTGTTCATTTTTCTTGAGTTCTGCAATTATATGCAATATATTCATTACATGTGCCACCAACCCGTAAATCAGATGAACCAAGAGCACAGTTAGAAAGACTGAACTATTTAAATAAATAACACTGGGTTGTAAACCAGCAGTATATCAAAGCAAAGAGGAATGAAGGATTCACGGTGTAAAACAGACTACTTGGTATAAATCACCTAAATCTGACCAGCATATGGTAAAGGAAAAATGAAAATGTCCATATCCATGTTTACATCTTTTTAATACAGAGAGACTGAGTTGTGACTTAGGGACTTGTTGTTTTTGTACAGTATACACACATGTATGCAGGTAGCTATACAGTAGAATTTTCAGTTTTGTACTCAAATGTCAAATGCACCATAACTCAGTATTAAATTGTGCATATATGTGCATGCCTTCATGCACACTATGTAAATACAAATGACTGCATAAACAAGAACTCTCAATTGACTGAATGCTTGTGGGAATGTGTCTTAAAGCTTTTAGTAATGTAGTTATAATACGGAATATTTTGTTGTCATAGGTTATTTCAAAACATTTTAGAGCACTGCAATAGTGCCAAATATGGTGTATTATCTTCCATGAAAGAAAAAAAAACAATAATAGCATTTGTAAGTGGTTTAAGGAAGCACTAATGTGTTCTCTGAATAAACAGAAAGACTTTTTACATTTGTTTATCTCCATTATAGTAGCAATCAGTTATTTCAATTAACACATCTTCCCAATTTCTTAGCAAACACTGGTTACTCTCAGATGGACAGAAGACTAAATGACTAGATTATTTCTAAAACCAAATCCATTATAGGGCAATGCCAATATTTGTCCGTCTCTGATTGTTAATTTGTCCTGATTTGAAATAATAGCTATTCTATGAAACATGTTGTGTAAGCTTATCTCCTCTGTGAGCTTCTATGGGATCTTAACATTTTATTATAATGATATTTACAACAATGAATACATTCTATATGCTTAGAAAAGCATATTACCTTTCTCTTAAAAATATGGCTTTTTTGGTAGTCCAAAAATGTGATTTGGCCCATTGGATTAAAAATGTGAGGTGTTATAATAAGCTTATCCATGTTTTAATATAGTTTCTGATGTGTCCTACTTGGACCAACAATATTTCTGGTTATTAGTTGTGCTCTCTAACTACTAAAAAAGTGTATGCCCTATTCCAAGCTTGAAAAAAAAAACATATTATACCAGTCAGTAGACACGGCAATCAGACTTAAAGAGAATATCGACTGATAAATGCAAAGGCCAGAGGAAGGGTTCAGGAAAGCAATGCCACAGAGAACACAGGGCACACAGAAGGCCATGCTTTCCCCTCCTGTAACAACCAGTTTGACTGCTGAGCTTCCTGGCAACTTTCCACTTATTTTCCAATTAATTTGGCCTCAGAGAGCCTCAACTCATCTACATGGATAAATTAACAGATCTCCTTGCACTTTTTCAAGTAGTTTAAAAGTCCATGCACCCTCTAACATCTAAATGTAAATCGATAGTTTTGTATTATGAAAAATAATTCTTTTGCATGGATGGCAAGCCAAACTTTTCTCAGCTTAACTCAACTGAAATCCCAAACTACCAAACTAAAAATATAATTTATTTCACATAACACAACATTTCTTATGTCTGATTCCAGATAATTTGCTAAAAGACAACTAAGATTAAAACATTACTTGTGGATTTGCCGAAATCTTGCAATGGGTAACAAACTCTAATGTAAACATTGTGTAGCAGACAGCCTCGTGGAGCTAACTCAAATAAATATATATATATATAGAACGCACACGAGTTGATAGGAAATATGAAATGTTTATCTGGAATAATTTGATGTTAGACATTGTTCATTATAGACCTTGAATCTTTTTTGATTTATTTGACCAAAAATGATGCTCTTGTGTGCTCTTGATTTGACACTCTGCTGGTGAGAATGGGTGTTTGTAACTATAATATATAGGATGTGGCCTCCTCTGAGAGAAAACTGTCTTTATGTTTTGCTTTGTGTTGAGGAATGATGCAGGGTAAGGTGGAGACTACACCAAACCATTTCCACATCTAAATGAAGCCATGTAATTACCACTTTGCAAACTCAATATTTCATCGTTCATATCCTCTCACTGTGTTTGTCACTTTTGTTTGGTGACACTTTTATAACGGACAGAAAGGTTTTGTAAAAAAGTATATGATCCCCCCTCCATCCCACTCCTTGAATATAGCTTGGTGGTTGAACAATACAGACTGCACCGTGTTCTGCTGAACAATAACTCTGTGTAATGTGTGAATGCTGTAGAAACAACCCCCTCTTAATAATGCTTCTCTAAGAATAATTTATATTATGCTTTTTTCATGTTTTACTGTCCAAAAGTGGGCGGCCGAAACGCTCTGAAATTGGAATTTGCCTCATCCTCGTTCTCTGCTCCATGTTGGATCTGAGCCAACATCTGCAGCCATCTTTGTGCCAAACTGGGTTGCAGGGTTGGCTGATCAAAAACAATATGAGATGAGAACTCCACAGGAGAAACAAATCATAAATGTGACCTCAGTCTGCTTGCAGTTGAAGGCAGCCTTGTGCTAATGTTTGTGTTTAACTGTTTGATTTAGTCTCCGTGAAGTTGGCCTTGGGCACGGCAATAGGCTTGGGCTCATTCGTGACAATTAATAATTACAAGATTTTAAAAAAAATACTCATCTTTTTAAGAGATTTCCATCATGTGTGTAGATATAGGCTACTCATGTCATCTTATGGACAACAGGGTGGCTTCAGGGATTTTGTGGTCTTCAACAGTGACACTATGGTGTTCAGATGGAGTCGATACTCACTGTTTTCTGTTGTGTTGTGTTTTCCTTTTCATTACAGTATATCCTCATGTTTGCATGTGCACGGAAATGTTCCAAAGTGCTGCCCTACGATGTGGTGGGTGGTGCTCATTTCTTTATTATGCATGAAAATAATTCACATTTTGTGAAACGGGATAACAACAATTGAAGACGGACAATTGAAAACACACACTGGGATAACTGTTCTGTTGGCTTTTTTTTCTCAAGAAAACAAGGGGTCTTGTTTAAAATGTTGTTGATGTCTTTAGCCTATTTCATGTTTTTATTACCTTATAATAAGGTCATTTTATGATGAGCTGAATATTGAAATGAATTTTACTATATCCTTGTGATGGGGAGATGTGCTCCTCTGTTTACTTGACACTTCAGTTTGTTGTAATGCAACTGTTTTGTTATTTCTATGTAAGTACTTGAATAAAGAAAAATATCACTTGCCTTCAGTTTTCCTGGGTCTCTTCGTGCACGTACATACCGAACAGATCTGACCTGATAAAAGTATCAATACTACAGTGTAAAAATACTCTGTTACGAGCAAAAGTCCAACATTCAAATGTGTACTCAACTAAAATGTACAACATTATTGGCATCAAAATGTACTACAGGTACACAAAGTAAAAGTACTAATTATCCAGTATGGCCCATTTCAAATTTAAAAATAAAACGTTATTGTACAATAGTGTCAATGTTGCACTTCGTAAAGGAGAAGAACATTTTAATGACTTGATTAACTGCTGGGTAGCTTCTATAATACATAATGATGTATTCGTTGATTTATATTCTGTATTATTCATATATATATATATATATCCAAAGTAGTAAATGTAAAAAGTAGCATAACGTTAAAATACTCAAGTGAAGTAGCCTACCTCAAAATTGTACTTCAGTATAGTACTTGAGTAAGTGTACTTTATTACATTCAGTGATTTAAAGTAACTAAGTACATTCACTTACTGTACTTAACTACAACTCAGGTAAATATTGTACATTTACTAAACTACATTAATGTAATACCTTTACTAGTGACTTTGCAGATATGTATTAATGGTAAAGAAAAATATAATCAACAATAAAATAAGACTAGTAACGTTACACCTGGATTAAATTCACATGCTGCCCAGCAGTAAATACAATAATACAAAATAGCCCCAACTTTACAAGCTTGATATACACATCAATACATAAATAATTATAATCAAACCATATGGTACTACTTGGTTAACATTTTGAATACAGGACTTTTTCTTGTAACATAGAATTCCTACACTTTGGTATATATATACGTTTACTCAAGTACAAGATCTGAGTACTTCTTCCACCTAATATGGTTAATATTTATTTTTCTGCCATAAAACTTCTTGAGAGGAAACAGAATCGGCTAAGCTCCTTACTTCCTGTTTAAAGCTCGACTGTTGACTGCTAGAAAGGGATGAGTAGCTCGGAAGATATTAAAACCACCCAATGAAACTGGAATAAAAGTTCACTCAAAATGAGCTGGTACGTATGTTGACTAAATCGTTATTTTAGCATATTAAATTAAAGTGTAATTTAGAAAGGATACATTAATAGTGTCTCGTATACCGGGCTCCGGCTACTTCCTGGTAGCAGTACACAAACATTGACGTTACAGTAGAGCAGGAGTTAGCTTTAGCTTGTTAAACTCATGAATAAAACCTTTTAGAAGGATAATAAAACGGTTGAAATGGGAACAGCAGCGTCTGTATCGTTAAAAAGGTGCTAGCAAAGCAGTATTTTTGTAAACAGTAAACCTAAACCGAAGTATGTTATGATAAAGTCGTATAACTAGCTTCAACTTGTTCGTTAGCTACAGTAACGTTGCTACTTTGTTGCTGTAACGTTAGCAAGCAGTTTAACCTAACGTTACCTAAACATCATTATTAACGCTTCTTTCTGACTTTACAGCTGCTTGTTGACAGTTAAAATGAACAGGTTTTAATTAGCATAACATGGAAACTCAATGTGAAGTTAGCAAAGAGTTAGGTCAACAGGGTCAACACTGAAGCCATTTAAAGGGAATTGGACATTACTGGTCAACTGGCTAGCTAACGTTAGCCTTTGGGGATGCAGTATGTTCAGTAGCATTGAGATGTTGTGTTAACTTACTTTGTTTTTACTCTTCTCTAATGCTGAGTTGTTCCTAGTAGGTAGGTGGGTATCGTTAGGTCAGTGTATTGATACCCTTAATGTTTACAAGCATGGCTCTTGGCCACCTATGTTGACATGTTTACGTTGTTTCTTAGTATTTGGGGACGCTTTTCAACATTCGCCTTAACTTTAGACTACCAATTCACAAGTCTGATGATACAGTACTGCTGGCAAGTTATAGGTATGCTGTTAAATGTCAGGTTTAAAATCGACACAGGTGTTTGCAGATGTTGTCTTTTGTGTAGCTGACACAATCAGTTGATTTTATTCTATATTAGGCTCACAAACAATAATTTGGCAAATATGTTGTTGTCCATTTATAGTCATTTCTCTAATAAAAATGCTCAGACTTTGGAATCTGGCTTCCCAAGATGGATAATATGTTACTTTTTAGTTTTATGAGAGTGAAATTAATATATTTTTACGATTAGGGACTTTATAATCAATTTCATTACGTAACCAGTTTGTTATGATGGACAGTTCACACCAATTTTTCCTTAAATGAGAGAATAATTGACAGATTATTGAAAATAACCCAAATGCAAGGAATATGAAAATGATGGCCACGTCGTTCTTATTAAATAATGGTGACTCTGACTTGTGCCTTTTTAGTCCTTGTAGTGCTTTGTCATTTTCTATGGAGCCAGATGATTGTGGAGCTGAGTTCACTGAATGAAGAGAGGTGTTGTGAACAGTTGGTCTTATGACGTAGTCTGAACGGATGAGCTGTACACATACTAGCTGAATCTGCATCTTGTCATCAGAGTTCTTCCATACAGCTGGTGATGTCCCTCAGAAAGTAAACAACAGCAAACAAGACTGTTATCAGATTTTAAGCCAAATGGCAACAAGAACAAAAGTATTTGTCCCCAACAGAACATGCTTTGTGCATTCTGATGATGTTATGTGTATTCAAATAACATCTCTATGATATATAATTAGCTTTACATCATCACTATTTCCAGCAGGTCTTTGCTTATGCGAAAATGTTTACTCTGAGAATGGCTACCATTTTCTCCACGTAGTCTCGAATTATTTCTTTGTAATAATAGCTATAGTCTAAATATGTAGTTGTATGTACTCTCTTTGTGTTTTGTTCTCAGTAAACATAACAACAATATGACATTGTATTTTCTTTCATAGGCATTTGTGTTGTCTTGATATTTTGAACAACTTTCCTTCCATCACTCGGTTTACTGAGGGTTTCACATATGGGTCTGTTGTACTTTCTTTCAGTGCCCTGTTTGTACCGTTACAACGGCTTGCTTAGGTTCTGAGGCAAAACACGTTGGGAAATTGCAGTTACAAAATGAATTTCATTTTGTAATTCTAGTTATAGCTAAATCCTGAATGACATAATTTGTAATGAATTTCATTTTGTAACTGACATTTAAAAATGTTCCAGGTTCTTTATTGTCAAACTAACATAGCTACAGAGTAATTATGTCGTTGAAAATCTTAGGTCACAGGCCTCTCCAACAATGNTTAGTTTGATGATATAAACAAAACAGAACAGAATAAAACTGAAAACATCGTACACATTCTCTATATCAATAAGTCATTGGTTCTTCTTTTAGACCAGAACAGACGTTCTGGTCTAAAAGAAGAACCAATGACTTATTGATATAGAGAATGTGTACGATGTTTTCAGTTTTATTCTGTTCTGTTTTGTTTATATCATCAAACTAAACACCTGCTACTATTAGATCCCTTGCATCTTTGGGTTTGTTTAAGCATGCATTATCATCTCACTTTCTCCTGGTCTGCTCTTGTTATCTATATCTATTAGACACTACTGTCTATCAAATTGTAATGATTGTATGTATGACTTCATGAATTTTACTTAACAGATTGTACGTGGTTTGTCATGTTTTGCTTTCTGTTATTTTGTTCATGTCCAGTTGCAAGAAAAAGTATGTGAACCCTTTGGAATTACCTGGATTTCTGCATAAGTTGGTCATAAAATGGAGGAAGCCACTGCTGTCCAGAAAAAACATTGCTGCACGTTTGAAGTTTGCAAAAGAGCACCTGGATGTTCCAAAGCACTATTGGCAAAATATTCTGTGGACAGATGAAACTAAAGTTAAGTTGTTTTGAAGGAACACACAACACTATGTGTGGAGAAAAAAAGGCAAAGCACACCAACATCAAAACCTCATCCCAACTATGAAGTATGGTGGAGGGAGCATCATGGTTTGGCAGGGGTAGACATTAAGGGTAAAAATCGACTGGATCTCCGGGCCAGTCGATTTTCATTATCACTGGCCCCACCATTGTAACCACTGGCCCAATACAATTCTTCCAAAACAAATCGACTCCAATAATGAAGACAATGAATACATTTGTGGCAATAGTAATTTATTTACAAACTACATTACTACTATACTACAACATTTCAATCGCCAGTTCTTCCTCATTTTCCTCCTC